GGAAACCCCAACACTTGTGTGGAATTCAGTTAACCAGTGGAACAACCTGCCTCCAGAAGCTGTGAATGCTCCAACACTGGAAGTTTTTAAGAAGAGACTGGACAGCCATTTGTCTGAAATGGTATAGGGTTTCCTGCCTGAGCAGGGGGTTGGACTAGATGACCTCCAAGGTCCATTCCAACTTTATTCTTCTTCTTTGTATTATTATTACTATTATTATTATTATTATTATTATTATTATTGATCAACGCACAGTCAGCCAGATGTTCAGACTGGATTTGGCATTTTGTCTACCTATTGAGTCCTTACCCAGGACCTGGGATAGGCAGATGTGGATGTTTGATGGTATTACTGATAAACAATGCTTCTCTAAAAAAGAGCGGCCGGGTGGGGGGGAGCAATGTTTTTTTTTAAAAGAAAAAAGTACTTTTTAATTATATGTCAGTTTGTACCTGATTTCACACATTTATGAATTTTAAGAATGTAACTGCATAGAAATGGCTCCTTTCATTTTTCATCTCTCTTTTTTAGGACATCGGAAGCATCTTGAAGAAGTAAGTGACTCCACCCTCCTCTTTACCGTCTCAGAGACCGGCAGCTCCTCCAGCAATTTTCCTGTTTTGGAAAGTTCTGTTTGTATTTAGCAGTAATTTAATTTAGAGACAATGTATCTTAGGGCCTCGTAAATATTTCCCCAGACAACCTCAACACAATGTAATTAGCAATATTTGATATGGTGAATTATTATGGTTGGTCCCACAGTCAGCTAGATGTTTAGATTGAATTTAGTATTTTTGTCCATCTATTGAGTGCTTCCCAAAGATAGACAGAGGTTTGATGGTGCTAAAGGTATCATTGTAGGATGTAAGCTGTTCCAAGTAAAGCTGCCTTTTGCAATTGTCTGATAGTGGTTTTGTCAGTGTCGATGCTGTTCCAGTGGTGTTCTAGATGTTTTGGGATTACACCCAAGGCAGGTATTACTATTGGTGCTACCTTTGCTTTCTTTGGCCACAGTTGTTCTACTTCTATTTGCAGATCTTTGTATTTTGTGATTTTCTCCAGTTCTTTCTCTTTAATCCTTTGTCTCCAGGTAATACTATGTCTACTTTTTTTGTCTTTCTCATCAATAATTGTCAGGTTTGGGATGTTATGCAGCAGCCTTTGAATTCTAAAGTCCCAAAGCACTTTAGCTTCTTCATTTTCTATCACTTTGTCTATTTAACGATCCCATTAGTTTACTATAATTATAATTATTATAAGAACCCCTTTTGCTACTAGATTATGTGTCCTCAGGATTTATCACTCAGTTTCATTAACAAAATTATTTGACATTTTCTATCTCATTTTCAGTGAACTTTTTTTCTGTTGGAAGAGACCTGGAAGGTCATCTAGTCCAACCCCCTGCTCAGGCAGGAAACCTATACCATTTCAGACAAATGGCTGTCCAGTCTCTTCTTAAAAACCTCCAGTGTTGGAGCACTCACAGCTTCTGGAGGCAGGTTGTTCCACTGGTTAATTGTTCTAACTGTCAGGAAGTTTCTCCTTAGTTCTAGGTTGCTTCTCTCCTTGATTAGTTTCCATCTGTTGCTTCTTATCCTGCCTTCAGGCACTTTGGAAAATAGCTTGACTCCCTCTTCTTTGTGGCAGCCCCTGAGATACTGGAACTCTGCTATCATGTCCCCCCTCGTCCTTCTCTTCATTAAACTAGACATACCCAATTCCAGCAACCGTTCCTTCTATGTTTTAGCCTCCAGTCCCCTAATCATCTTTGTTGCTTTTCTCTGTACTCTTTCTAGTGTCTCAGCATCTTTTTTACATCGTGGTGACCAAAATGGATGCATGTAAGTGTGGCCTAACCAAGGCATTGTAAAGTGGTATTAACACTTCATGTGATCTTGATTCTATCCCTCTGTTAATGCAGCCTAGCACTGTGTTGGCTTTTTTGGCAGCTGCAGCACACTGCTGGCTCATATTTAAGTGATTGTCCACTAGGACTCCGAGATCCCTCTCACAGTTACTACTATTGAGCAAGGTCCCCCCTATGCTATACCTGTACATTTGGTTTTTCTTGGTCTTGAATATATTTAATTTATGTTTTACTAATTCCATTTGATTTTTAAGATTCGGTTTTTGCGGTATTCTCTGTAGTTCTAGTTCTAATCTTTTATATTCTTCTTCCAACCCCAGCTTCCTGTTCTTATTCCACACCTTATTAAAACAATAGCTAAGCAGAGAAATGATTGAAGCCTGGGAAACAGGGCCCTTGTCAGTCAATCACCAGCTTACCAGGTACTTAGGAGCTGAGGACAGGGCAACACAAGGAAAAAACAATCACTGACTTAATGGCCGGCCGTCAACACCCCACTTAAGAACTAAAAGTCACACACAACCAGGCATCACATGTATACAATGTGCAGGACAGCCCAGTGTACATACTGTGGAGAGAGGGCAGTTCCAGCACGAATCCAAAAGCTTGGAAGAATAAACCTCTGGTCCCGGTGACCAACTCAGACTGGATCCTCAAGCACCATCTGATACTTCTTCCATTGGGAGGATAATAAACATTGTTCTTTTGCCTTGCCAGGTACCAAGCGAAAAAAATATATGAGAATCCCATGGATTTACTTGTAGACCCGATGTGGACAATCTGGGATTACAGTGATCTCACTGTGCTTCTGAAAAGTGCCATGAAAAAATTTAGAGGTAAAAAACAGCTGTCGAGGTTTTATGCTGGATGACATTTTGACCGCAGAGCATCCAAAAGAGATTCTGGATCAGTGTCAGGGGGATCAAAGAGGGATCGATGTCAGGATCAGTGGAAGAGACACCTTCATTTCTCTGGGGAAAGGCCTTGTGTCTTGGCACCAGGAGGGGGAACAGGAGCTTCCTGGTTTCTCCCGTTAAAAGATGAGCTAGCTAAAAACAGGAACCATTAGCCAATCATAATTGACCATTTACAGGCAGTCCTCGACTTACAACAGTTCATTTACTGACTGTTGGAATTTAGAACCGCACTGAGTTAGGACCATTTTTCACACCTATGACATCCCCACAGTCACGTGATTCACATTCGGATGCTTGCAACTGATTCATATTTATGACGATCGTGTGATCATCTTTTGTCACATTCTGACAAGCAAAGTCAATGGGGAAACCAGATTCACTTCACAACTGTGTTATTAATTTAACAACTGCAGTGATTCACAACAAATGTGGCAAGAAAAGTTGTAAAATGGGGCAACATTGACTTAACAAATTTCTCACTTAGCAACATAAATTCTGGGCTCAACTGTGGTCGTACGTCAAGGGCTACCTGTATTCTTTATTTCCCAAATCCATATTCACTGATCACTGGGGAAGTTGAATAAGCTTCCATTAAATATAATGGAATATATACAGATAGTCCTTGACTTATGAGCACAATTTCAGTTGTTAAGTGAGTCGTGCTCTACTTTATGACCCTTTTTGCCACCGTTGTTAAGAAAATCACTGCAGGCAAGTGAATCGTGTGCTTGTTAAGCAAATCTGGCTTCCCGCATTGACTTTGCATGTCAGAAGCTTCCCAGGAAAGTTTCAGATGACAATCTCAGAACCATGGGATGCCGCAACCGTGATAAATACATTCTGGATGTCAACTGTTGGGATTTTGATCATGTGACTGGGGATGCTGGAACGGTCGTAAGTATGAGAACTAACTGGTCATAAGTCAATTTTTAGTGCGATTGTAACATTGAGTAATCATTAAATTAATTGTTATAAGTTGAGGACTACCTGTATATGGAAAATATAGTAGAATATATTTATATCTGACAAAATAGATATAGCCACCGATGACATTCTGGCTTGTAGCTTTTCTTATTCCTTATTTCCTGATTTGAGGCCAAGGAAAGCAAACAAGAATGAAAGTGAATATATGATAAATATGATAGCAGTGTTTCAGTATTTGAGGGGCTGCCACTAAGAAGAGGGGGTCACATTATTCTCCAAAGCACCAGAGGGCAGGACAAGAAACAACGGTTGGAAACTGATCAAAGAGAGAAGCAACCTGGAATTAAGGAGAAACTTCCTGACAGTGAGGACAATTAACCGGTGGAATAGCTTGCCCCCAGAAATTGTGGGTGCACCATCACTGGAGATTTTTAAAAAGAAGCTAGAGAGTCACTTGTCTGAGATGATAGGTTCTCCTGCTTGAGGAGGGGGCTAGACTAGAAGACCTCCAAGATCCCTTCCAATTCAATTCCATTCCTATTCTATGTCGGTCACCGGGATGAGAGTTTCTGTCTTCCGGGCTTTCTGTCGCTCCCTGGAGCCCACCTTCGTGTCTGCCTGTCTAAAAAGCCACACACACAGACATCTAAAAAGCCACACACACGGACACTATAAATACCATACACAAAACAGCACACACTCCGCTAGAGAGAAATTCCCTGAAGATAGGCTCCAGCAAGGGCCCGGAAGACAAAACCTCTCGTCCCATTGACCGACCCAGATGGGATCCTGCAAAGCAAACTAGGGTATCTGTAGGGAGGCCCTTCTGTTGCTCCAGTTCCAGTGATGAGATGCTGAATCCCTCCCTTTTCTTCCCCAGATACTCTGGAAAGTGGACTTAAACTCCAAGAAGGTAAATATGAGTTATAAGAATCTCTTATATTGCTTGGTATTTTAAGCTCTGATGCTAGTAGCTATAAGAGAAATATTGTACAATAGACTGACAAAAAAAGCATAAGATTAGATACCTTGAAGACTATGATGATCCAGTAAACTGAAATGATTTATTATTTATGACCTATTACTTGCTATTTATATGTACACTGTGAGCTTATCCACCGAAGACATTCCTTGTGTGTCTGATCACACTTGGCCAATAAAGAATTCTATTCTATTCTATTCTATTCTATTCTATTCTATTCTATTCTATTCTATTCTATNTAGATACCTTGAAGACTATGATGATCCAGTAAACTGAAATGATTTATTATTTATGACCTATTACTTGCTATTTATATGTACACTGTGAGCTTATCCACCGAAGACATTCCTTGTGTGTCTGATCACACTTGGCCAATAAAGAATTCTATTCTATTCTATTCTATTCTATTCTATTCTATTCTATTCTATTCTATTCTATATTACACTCCACTCCACTCCACTCCTTTCCATATAAAGAGCGACAAAAGAAAAGAAGTGTAGGATTAGATACCTTAAAGACTATGAAAATCCACTAAATATAATCTAGAAAATTGATGTCAGTCTTAGTGTAGAATGAAATATTTGCATAAATGGGAAAATAGGGGCTGGTACTGAAAGGAATATAGAATTCCTGCCAGGCTAATAACATCCTCTTCATTTTACTGCCTGACTATAAATTGGTGAGAGACCAGGTCTTTGGGAGCAGAGAAATTAAGTCCTTTGGGTCACAGCAAATAGCGAAGTTGGAGCACCAGGGATGTCCCAAGGGTGCTTTTTTCACGAGGTAACTGGACTTTCTTGTTTTTCTTTGAAGACATTTCGCTTCTCATCTAAAGAAGCTTCTTCAGCTCTGACTCTGACCCTCACCCCACCATCCAGTCAGAGCTGAAGAAGCTTCTTGGATGAGAAGCGAAATGTCTTCCAAGAAAAACAATGAAGTCCAGTTGCCTGTGAAAAAAAGCACCTTTGGGACAACCATGACCTGGATGACTGAGAATCTCCAGAGACATCGAGCACCAGGGATGTCTCCACCTTGTGAGCCATCAAATTGATGAAAGCAGAGGTTTCCTGTGCAGAAGCCTCCCCTTTTGTACATCCCTGTGACATCCTGATGCTCGTAGAAAAAAGGGAAGAGCTTCCTCACATTCTTCCAGTCCTGGAAGCTTGGTGTCATGTGTCTGATTAACGAAACACTTAAAAGAACTTTCAGGCATTTTTTTAACCTAAAAGCCTTTATTACGGTTACAGAGATGTCAGTACAGCATGGTGGAATGCTTAAATCTGATTTTCTTTTCCATTGCACATACATTCCAGGCATTTTTTCCTCCCCTATTTTGGGGTCATGGTTCACATCTTCCAATTAACTTGGAAGATGTGATTCACTTCCGGTTCCATTTTCCCGGGCTTTCCTTATTCTCCTCCCCTTTCACTGTTGCCTGATTTAACTATAAAAATACCAGACAGTTCTGCATATTGTCAAAGCAAGAATATACAGTATTTGCAGCGTTGACACTTGGAAGCTGAACTCCTTTCAGAGTGGAGGCCGTAGGGTTGATATATTGGGGGTCAAGACACAAACCAGGCCTGCAGCCT